CCAAAAGATACTCGGCACGACAGTTGTCAATTGTTGTTGCTGCTGTTGCTGTTGTTGTTGCTGTTTTTGCTCTCCAGTCGCTCTGTAAATGCAACTGCAACGCGTCGCAGATATTGCAAACATTTTTGACATTGGCATGTTGTAATGCATTTTGAGTTATCATGACTCTGGCACTGTCTCTGGATCTGGGACTGGGTTTGGGTTTGGGTCTGGGTCTGGCTCACGTTTTTCGTTATATGCCTTCGAGGTTTAAATGATTAGATTTGGAATATTCCATACTGTCGTTGTCATTGCTCGATGCCAATGTCCGGCTTCCGTCCAATTGTCAGCATGTTCAGTTTGCATTTTACGACAGTTGCATGTTTTCGGGATTCCCCGCACTCTCGTATTTTGGTGGCATTGCTTGGGTCAGAGGTAAAATGTTGCATTATCGAGTGTCATTACTTTTTAGTTGCATGCAATTAGCGTTGCTTTTGATTTGGCTCTCCACAATACTCGCACATGTCACACAACTAACTGAAATCTGTTTTAATTGGATGGCAAATTGATGCGAAGATACTCGTATAAGCATGTAAGTTGGCAAGCAATTCGAATATGAGATTCTGAAGCTAATTTCACTTCAGTTGTAAAAAGACAAGTTTGAAATACTTATGGAAAAGTATTATAAAAGAAAACTTAAAAGTTGCAAATCTAAAAAAAAAACAATATTATTTAATTGAGGCGTCTTTAATGGGGCAGACTGTGCACCTTGAGGTGCCTTTTCCATATTCTGATTGGACACTGCTGGACAGGAGATATTCCACTTTTGGATCCTTGCTTCGCTTTGGCAAAGCCTAGTCAGTTGAGCATCTGGACAAGATAAATGGAAAATAATTACTAGCCTCTTTCAATGAACAGAAAAGCAGAGCAGAGCAAACCAACAATTAGGTTGTGGAAAAAAAACAACACCAATGACAATCTAGAGGATCCATAACAATGGAAGATGTAAAGCCAAAGATTGCTAGAGAAGGCAAACAATTATGTTTTTCATGTTTTATCAACAGAGAGCAAAAAAGCAGCAAATGCATCAAAAACATTCCAGCAGAGGACTTACTTAAAAACTAAAAAGAAGCTAAGTTAAGCAAGAAGTTTCGTTTTTAAGTTTTTAATTCTTGCCCAATCTCTGTTGTTATTACCTGTTTTAAATGTATAGTTTTAAAGTATAGTTGCAGTCTGTATTGTCCGGCTCGAAAGAGAACTGTTGTTAATCACAACTAATAACAGACTAATTGTCCAGTATTTTTTTTTTTTTTTTTTTTAGCGCAACTTAATTCATATTCTTACACTTATCTATGTACACTTATAAAACGTCATAAAATAAAAACACAGAAACTATAACAACTCTTGATCACAGCTTATACATACAATAATAATGAAGGGCCAACTTGTTCAACATTTTTGTCTTTAAATATCGGTATCGGCCAGGGTAGGTTATTTAAATTAAAATGGTTCATTATTAAAATGAAACTTATTTAATATTTAACAACAAACTCATTCCTTATAAATTTTTCATTCGAAACTAAAGCTCTAGGCAGACAATTAATTGTATTAAAGCATTTCTACTAAGCGAAAGAAACTTGAAAAGTAATACACCACTTTACACTTTTACCTAAAAATATTAAGAAAACAAATAATAATTTCTTAACTTGTGTAAAAAGTTCCCTTATAGGAGGCATTTAAAACAGTTTAGTAATTAAGGAAGCGAAATTGAAAGCACATCTCTGTCAATCACAAGAAAATGATTTCCCACCATCCCATATCTAAATTAATATTGAATATAGGCAAGCTATTCAATGATGCTCCAAATTGCCTTTTTCCAAGCCAATAAATCTTATTTTGAATACCAAATCAGTGCCGTGTTGAACACATCCGAACAAACAATAAACCCGTCTAACCCCATCGAAGCCAAAGAAAAAAGTTATGACTTCTAATTACCAATGTTAATGTCGAGTCCTTGGGGCCCAGTGCGAATCTCAAATGTGTGCAAATACGAGTATGCACGGGGCTGGCTTGGCTATCCGTTTGACTGGCGACCGCGTGAGTTCCGGCGCAAGGGTTGGCCGGCGTGGTTAGTGCCTAGTCACCCTTTGAACCCCGAAGGTGAGGACTGAGACAGAGGCAGTCATAAAATTTCATAAACTTGCTTACGCAGCCAGTTGCGCAGACTAATTGACAAAGTGTTGAATTACATTTCCTGTTCCTCTGCAACAGACAGTTAGAAAGATAGAGAGATAGAGAGAGAGAGAGAGAGAAAGAGAGTCGTTCGAAAAATGCCTTCATGGGGTTGGACATTAAGTAAATTATTTTTAATATGTTTATAGACTGAGCCGAGCACAAATGTGCGTCTGTGTGTGCTTCATATTGTAATTATGTAATTTTCACATGTGATTTAATTACCGTAATGGGATTTGAGCTGAGCGAGAGACAATGTGTAATAAAACACTTAAAATGATGGATGGAACTGAACTGACTTGACTGCCTGCCTGCCTGCCGGGCTAACTGACTGACTGACTGACGACTCTGCCTCTGACTGACTCTGTCTTCCCTGCTCCTCTAGTCCTTTGTGGGCAACTCTAACTATTCGCAAACTTGAGCTCCCTTGGCTGCAGAAATCTGCAAGCAGCTGTCAAAATTCCCAGGCGCCTTTTAATTTGGCGCGTGCGGCAAATTGCGCCAATTTATTAAAAACGAAAACGAAATTACTCGTACCAGCTAGTTATAATTGTGTATAAAATAAAACGATTTTCAATGCTGCAACAAAAACAAAAACACCAGCAGCGATATTTGTTTGACATTTGTTGGAATTTTTTGGGCAAGAGAGCAAATTGCGTTTCGTCCTGTCAGTGTCAAAAGAATTTTGTGCGAGTTGCTTGCACTTAGTTGTGATTATTGTTGTGGTTGTTGTTGTTGTTGTTGTTGCTGCTGTTCTTGGTGTTATTATTCAGTTGTTTGGTTGGCTTGGCTTGGCTTTTCGTGTTCTCTAACAAATCGAAAGTCAAAAAAGTTAAATTATTCATAGGAAGCGAAAGCAATTTCAAAGCAAGCAACATACACGATAAACGCAGTCAAATTGCAATTAGCCTTTTGTTGTTGTTCCCAAGAAGGTGGCTTTTGTTGTTGTTGTAGTTGTTGTTGCTGCTGCTGGCATTGCACTTTGATGCATGCGTGTCAGACTGTAAGCCGTCAGTCAACGAATTTTCTTGGCGCAACTGACAGCAATTTTCCAGTTGTGAATTATGTGAAATTTTTCGCTATTCTGCAGCTAATGGAAATGATTGCCAGCTAAAACGCAATATACGCCCGCAGGCCCAGAGCCAAACCAAACCAAGGCGAGCCGAGTCGAGTCGAGTCGGTTTAGGCCTGGGCAGGGCGGGGCGGAGTGGTTCTGAGGGCGCGCTTAAATGCCGCTGTACTTGTTGTTGCCGTTGTTATTTACGGCTGTCAGTTGGCTTTAATTTAATTTTGCACACGAATTATAAATGAAAACAGCAGCACCAACAACAACAACAAACACAAAAATCATTGTAAATGTACAACAACAAACATTTAAAATAAAAATAAAATACAAGCAACATGGCCAAAAGGCGTGGCAGGGGGTTAGGCGTTGAACAAGCGCAAAGAAATGTAAACAATTCATTGAATTTGCAATTACACGCACATTTGGCACACATACACACACACACACACACATACACAAACACACTAACATGCTGACAAAAACAACAACAGCAACATCGAGGCGACTGACGACGATGCGTGTAATGCTCGTTGTCTGTTGTTTACATCCAGAAACAAACACACAGACGCACTCTCATTCTGTACCTGCATCGCTTTATATATACCACACGAGTATATACGTATATATAGAATGTATCACATACAGATACGCATCATATATTTGGCAAAAGGTGGGCGGGAAGGGGCGGCTGCGGGGGGGCCTTTTAATGTTTGCACACGTCATGACGCGCGATACGCTCCTGTAATCACAAACCAATTGGAAATGCGTTTTACCCAGCCATGTATGTGTGTGTGTGTGTGTGCGTGTGGGTGAAAATAAAAAATTTTATAAATAAATGAACATGAAATTTAAAAGCTTCTTCTTTCAATATAGAAAACACCCTGCAATGTAAAATCAGCAGTTCCATATTATTATTTTTTTCCAAACTTATTAAATATTTTAATCGTTTAATATGCACTTTTACATATCCATCCAATTAGAAAAAAAGAATTGCTAATATTGTGTTTTTTTTTTTCTTAATTCAAAACTGCTTTTATTATGTGCTTACGGGTTTAGGTGAGAATATTCCTTGGCTCGGCTCAGTCTATACATTTCCTTGGCATCTTGGTTCCTTGTATCCAAAGGGTAGAAAGGGTATATTAGGTTTGTGCAAAATATGTAACACAGAGAAGAAGGAATCATCTCCCACTCCATTAGGTATACATATACAGCCATAACCGTCTGCCAACTGTCCGTCTGTGTGGCTCCGGAAATGGCTGAGCACCCATTGACCAAACATGGTTTGGATTTTCCAAATACCAGACAAAACGAGTTTATTTTATTGTTTTGATTTTAGCCCCCCTCTCCCTCCCTCGCTAATATTTAAAGTATCATGAACCCACCGTTCTTATACATATGATATCAGCTTTATTGCACCGATATTAATGAAATCAGAAATAATTGTTGATGGCCAGAGAGAAATATTGTGCTTATGCTTGTGTCGATTGAAGTTAATTGTTTTGCTAAGAAATTTGTATTCTAAAGACATTTGATTTTCAACTTGAATAAAGTCAACAATTCTCTCAATATAATCAATTACATAACTACGGACAAGCGTCAACATTTGAGAATGCTTTGATATTTACTTACAGTATGTTTTTAAATTGAATTCTTTATTCAAAAAAAAGTAATTCATGTGTGAGAGAAAATTTCTTTGGTCGTTAAGTCTTCGAACAGGATGCATTATATATGGCATTTGGGTGTGTGTATGGGAATCCCTACGAATTATGATCGGGTATGCAAAAAGAACCACCTATTATATTAAAAATTAACCAATTCATTCAAAAAAAGTTTACTTTTTGCTTTTGCTACGCATATGAGCGATGAGGCAGATCCAAAGTCTGGGTTTGAGAAATTCATTTTGAACGCTGTTGTTGTTGTTGCCGTGGGTATTGTGTTTCTATTGGGTGGCATTTGTTTGCTGATTGGTGTCTGGAAGGTTAAATGAATGACAAATACACCCCGTTCATCACAAAATAACTACAAGTATATTGTTTTATCTCACATTTAAAGGACATCAAGATACTTGTTATAATGTCTACAGTAATTACCTTTCTGTATGTGATCTGGGTGCTGGTGTATTTATATTTTTTAGCAGCCGGCTTGCTCGTATTGTTGGGTGTTTTTATAGGTGAGTTGAAGCATTACTTTTTACCAAAGCTCTTTTTAAGACATTTTCACATTACAGTGTACAACTTTTACATGGGAATTATGCAGATATGCTATATCTGTGACATGGTAGAGCGATCACAACTAGATGAAAAACCAAGACGGACCCGAAAGCAAGACTGGTAATTCAAACATGTACAAGCTGGCGATAGAAATAAATATGAAGCTCCACCCTGACGCTCCATTCGCGATCACCAAAGCACTTGCACTTGATTATTAAATCTATTCTGAATACACCATAACAATGACAAAGTTGCAATTAGCGAGAGTAGGAACAGATACTATATTTCAGAGTCCCATTCGCCGTCACCTATTGATTCGGAGTTTCTCTTGCTGTATCTTGACAGTCTCTCTGCAGAAAAGAATTGAGCATTGCCACGCACACCTTCAGAGCTCAGTCCAGTAATAGGCCCAGCACATCAGCAATCTTACGCACCTTCCTAAAATTGTTCATGGACTTCTAGCCAACAATGCTTTTATGATTGTTTTTCAATTTTCATAAAAATGGAGCAAGAGAATATACTATATGAGAAAATAGTACGATTATATGTAGCTGTCCCTTGCTAGTGCTTTTAAAAATAATTGCAATGCTTTCCAGCATATGTTTCACAAATTTCAAATTGCATTTTTTTCGGCAATTCATTTTTAATTTTTAATCCAAAAAAAAAAAATTCATTAGTTAACCCACCTCCTGGCCCCCTTAATCAGACAATCAGCCAGTCAGTCCCCTCGGGCATCCATTGGCAATTATAAATGCCAGCGTCATAACCTCGGTGGACTGACTGCAAGCTGCATTAGAGTCTGCCAAAATGATGCAGCCGCCCATGATGATTAATGGCAGACACCGAAGGTCTCGACACAGACACGCCGGGGGCAGAGCTGAAGTGTTGAGCAATTATAAGCCAAAACTAAGAAACATTAAAAATCTCTGCTATACGTCAATCAAGCAACAGCTCCGGCATAATAGAAACATTTGGCCCAACGCACACGAAAACAAAATTAATAAAATCAGTGCCCAGAGTAGAGAAGCATGGCAGGGCAAGGCATCAACAAAAAATTTAATATAAACTACACGAAAGGACAAAGTCGCAGCTCGCAAGTGCAACCTGCGAGGGGCGTAAACCTTAAGCAGGGTGGGCCAAATAAGATTAATGATTGCAATAAATCCAGAGGCAAACAGACAAATGGACAAACGGACAGAGCAACAGACACTGCCACTATTAGTGCGACCAGCAAGGACACAAAGGATTTCTCTCATTTTCATCTCGGTTTTTCTTCGTTGCTGCTATACGAGTATATTGGTCGAGCTAATAATACGCAAGCAAGTTCAAGAAATCAGGCCATACCAGCAGGCAGAAGAGCAACGACAGTGGCTGATTGTGTTGCCCCCATCCGAGCTCGGCCAGCAGGACTTGGACTAACGCACCATTACGCTGATTAACACACGCGCATGAGGGAGTTGTGTCAGAGGGTGGGCTGTCCTGCTGCACCAGCCACCCGCGCTGATAAGGACACACAACATGCCATAAGCTGGCCCCGCCATTGCCACTGTCCTGATTCTACTGCTGATGCTGATGCTGATGCTGCTGCTGCCGCTGCCTGCTGCCTGCTGCTCATTTGGCCAGCACGCCGGGGGGTTGAACAGAAATTCATCATCTTGCTGTGCCGCTGGTGCCATATCCTTAAATCTAATTACGACTTAATCGACGCCAGTGGCGACAGTTGCAACTGCGTCGAGCGGAACGGTCCCCGCCATCGATGCAGACTCACAAACAGACTCTAAGCAACCACCAAAGCTAAAGTGCAAGCACAATGTGCTAGATTGAGAAAATAACTGAATAAAATATTTGTAGTTCGTTAATAATGAAATCATTACTGGCATTACTCTTAGCTACTGCAAAACTAGAATAAAAGAAGTAAAGACTTTTTTCCATTCAATAAAATGTATGTTATTGTATTTAGAAATGATATAGCAGCGCTATTTTTGTCCTAGAAGGATTCAAGCCATATCGTTATTTTGGCAGCTTTAATTAAAAGTTTTTCAACTATTTTAAAACCGCAACATATTTGTATTTAGAAGATCATTTACATGAGTCTACTGACCAGATCCAGATCATTTGTAGGAGTCTACTGACGAGTTATCAATTGTTTTTTAATTTAAAGATACCTTCTTGTATTCAAGTCTAACAAATAAGTTATATTAATATTTGAGTCATAATATGTTTGCAGATAAATATTATTTATTTGATTTCTAAACCTACCCCTCAGTAATATTCAAAGGTAATATATTCACATAATTTTATTAAATTCAAATCTGATTAAAACTGTGTGTACCAATATTTATTTTAAAAACAGCCAGGTAACAACATTTTCTAAGCTACCCAATAAAAAATTAGCAGACGAGATTGAAGTTTAAATTAAATTAAATAAGATAAATAACTGTTTCCTTGTAAACAAGTTCAGCAAATTACAGCAAAAAGCAAACCAAATGAAAGGAAATCAAACAATGAGTACAATATTGTGAAGGCAGTTGAAAATAGTTTATCATATTATAATGGTATTTGTAAAATTGCCAGAAGTGGTAGATCTATTTTTTATAAATCTTTATTTATCAACAAATGTATATTTACATTTTTTTTCATTTGCCATATGCTTTTATTTTAAATATCAGTTTTTTTGAAAATGTCACACTGTGCCTTGGACATTGCCGCTTATGACGCTCAATTGATAAAGTCAAAAGGGCGAACGACACATGTGCCGCATAATGTTCCAATGCCCTCTAACCCCTACTGCATGCCCAGCCAGCCAGCACCCTGCCAACCCCCTTTGTGTAGACCGCACGGCTTTTGAAACAAAAGCTGTGCCGCCGACTGCGCAGCTTACATGTGTTAATCACAGCCGCTGAGCTTCTTTTGTCTTTGGACCCGGCCGACGGCCCCGGGCATTGTTAGTTTTAATTGTCTAAAAAGCTCGCGTCTCGCAACAACAACAACAACAGCAGCATCAACAACGGCCACCACAGCAAGTACAACAAAAAGTGTTTTGTTTGCTGGCAACAACAAAAAAAGCGTCAACATTTGCGCGACTTGTTTTGCATATTGTGTCCAAGACCGCCCGCCCGCCTACGATGCTTTTGTTTTCTAACAAACATACACACATGGTCAGACACACACACAGTGACACGCACCTACACACATGTGTTAGTGTGCAAATATCATTGCATACGTGTGGGCGTAAATGAATAAAATGGCTCGAGCCACCGAAAAACGATAAATTCAATCGAAAATCGTTACATGTCAATGCATTAATCGGCCATAATCCCATTATGGCGCAAGGATATGCCCCGCAGCGCTCCTGACATGTCCTGCGGTCCTCTCGGAACATGTTTGTGTGTGTGTGTGTGTGTGTGTGTGAGTGCGACGCGTGAAAAATATTGCCACGCATCCTTTTGTTGTTGCTGTGTGCGTGTCGCATTTTATATTCATGCAGGCTCATGTTTTGCTGTTGTTCTCATTGTTGTTGTTGTTGCCTGTCGCATGCGTTCTTTTTGTTGTTGTTATTTTACTTTTTGTTTGTTTGCCCGTTTGATGTTTGTTTTTGCTTTCGAACGGTTTTATCTACGGCTCAGCGTCGCGCATTTTGCGTTCGGCGACGCATTTGACAAATGGCTTCTGTTCGATTCCTGGCTTTCGTTTCTCTAGAAGGGAAGGGGCTGGAGGGGGCGGGGCGGGGCGGAACAGTGCGGTGACTACACATCGGCTTTTGTTGGCTTTTGTCGTTTTATTATACATATACGTATACATATATTTTTTATTTGATAAAAATTCTATCTATTGTATTATGTTTACCTTGCTTGTTGCTGCGAATCATTTTTTGGCATTTTCGCCGATAAAATAGCAAAACCAATACTGCCGCGCATTCTCAGTTGAAGCCAGTGCCAGGCTTTAAATTATGGCGGTTGCATGATGAATTAAGCCAGCTTATAGGTGTTTAAGCAATACAAGTATATTTTTTGTTGCTTTTAAGCTTTATTTCTTTGAAAAATATAAACCAATGAATGAAGAATTCCTTTAATTACTTTGATCAGATCAGGTCTAGTTGCTGTATTTTCACTTAAATATTCAAGCCACATACAAACAAATTTGATAACTGTTATCTAACATATGCCAATTATATATAACTATTTCGAGTAACAATTAAGTAGCCATTAATCAAACTCAAGCAAGCCATACTCTTGCTATTTTTTTCCTCGTGCTGATTATATTTTATATGCAATCAAACTTGTTGTTACTGTATTAATAAAATCCAATATTCTTGCTTGTGGCCTAAATTGAATGCATTTTAAATACAGCTTCGAATTATACTTCAAGCATATGAAATAATCTCACATTTTTCCCAATGGTACTTCCCACTCTTATTACCTAATATTTAGTGAATTCTTCATAAGCATCTTCAGTGGCAATACGTTAAATGCTTTTAATTTTATATTGTGACAAAAATTTAACAGCTTTATCAATTGACGCTGGTTTTTAATTTTTGACACTTCATTCGCAAATATGAACTTTAAATATTTACTACTGTTTTGTAGGATTTCTTCGCAAAGCGCATTTCCATTAATGTCCCTGTTTTCACTTTGTCAATTGAGTTTTTATAATGCTAACATTTACAAACCACCAGCATGTGATTAACTATGACTGCCTCTAAAATTCAAATACTTATTATATAGCAGCTTTCCTGCTGTTTTAAGGACAATTTGGATTAGCTGATGCTACCAATAATTTGTCTTTGTCTTATTTCCCAATTTGCACCACTTTCAACTTCTGGCTCATCAAGCGTTCTTCATGTGCTACCTATATGTAAAAGAAATTTAGAAATATAATTAAATATATATATAAATATTTAGTTTTTTTTTGCCTACAAACATAGCCTGTCGACTTAGATAACACTATTTAAAAGTTTTAAAAAGTCTTAAGCCTAGCAAAGATTAAGTATAGAAAAAATTAAATTAAATTACAATAATATCGAATAAGGAATTTTATTTGCCATTCGGCTGCTAGGACACGAATCACAGCCAAAATAAATTAAAATAACTTTAATATTCACATACAAAGACAAACTAATGAGGCGGAAGGAAACTTAGAGTTAATTAAATTTTAAGGAATAAGCAAATACTTGTAGATAGAAAGGGGAATATTTGAACCG